AGTAAACAAACCTTTTTTTTTTTTTTTGTATAAAAACCAAAGCAAAATGAAAGTTAGAAAGAAAATCCCAAAGACTACAACCATCTTCTCACCCCGATTTGGGAGTTGTAACTAATTCTATTTATTCCTCACATCTACATCCACATTAACATTATTAAAAGATCAGAAATGCTATTTGATATATTCTTCAGAAATAGTAGGTAATCAAGTGATGGACAGCAAAAGGAAAAAAAGAATGTTGGGCCTCATCTGGACATTCTGTCAACGTGATCCCATCCATTCAATATGAAGCCAAGGCAGGTACATTATCACCTTCACTAAATTTGGAATTCACACTCTGGGGAATTCTGAAAAACATTTCAACTACTTATTAAAGTTAACATGCTAGTCTTCCCTGTTCCTCCCCCACCCAATCCTTTTCTTTACTTTACAGGAATAGCTCCAATTTCAGAAACAACCATTACAAAGGGAAAAACAAATGGTGGGTAGCAGCTGAGAAGAATCAAAGTCAGTTGAACTGTCCACCTGAATAAATATGTGCTGACTCTTTTTACCCATCTTGCTGGCCTAAAGTCTGAAGCTCAGATGTGTGAAGATTGTGGTGAAGGAACACATTTTTTCTGCTGTACATGTGCAAAGAAATTGGTCCTCTTGGAGGCTGTCCGAGCCTCCCTATGAAAGTAGAGTGTTGCCGTGGCCCCGGAGTTTGATCTTTCAGAGGGCCAGGAAAAATGGAGGCATTATCAGCCTTGGCTGTTGATTTTGACACACTTTGCATGACTCCTGCTAAGCCATTTTGGCTGACTTCAGAAGAGAGGGTTTCATAAGTGTCTCTTGTGTGCTTGATAGCTTCCACTATTTCTTTTTCCTTCAGGAGGTTGCCCAAACAGACACTTGACAACTGGCAGCTTTTGTTTTCACAGGACGTTGTTTGGTTGCCTGATGAATATCTAAAATGGTCCTCTGTGGGTGTATGTGCTGATCTTTTGTCCTTTGTGTTGAGAGTTTGGCTCACCATTTTGTTTAGGTATGTAGCCTGGAGCAAAGGAAACAGAAAAGGGAAGGAGAAAAATATTAGAGGAAAAATAGCTTTTCAGTAAGGAAGCTTAGGGCATGCAGAACATCCTTGTTAACATCTGCAGCTACGCGACTGGGTATGTGTTTTCACTGATTCTGGATTAAAATAGCAACAAACACCAATATCTGACATTTTCCTACAAATGTAAAGAAATACTGGAGGACTCATTTTATAACTTTAAAAGAATCACAACTTAAGTACATGTTTACTGAACAAGGAATGAATTTATTTATCTATTTCAGATGGATGGAAACATTAAAAAAGACATTAAGAAACACATTGTCCTTGTCCTATAACAACAAATTCATGGATAACTATAATAATATGTTAATATATTTATCAAAACATTCATTCCAAACCATAAGGTTTTTCTCCAAATTGTTGTTGGTGTTCTTTTGGTGCAGTTATGTAATTTGGATCCCAACATTCTGCTCAGAACAGGAATCCAGTTTTAAGTACTTCCAATAGCTGCTGTTTGGCTTCTGTTTGAACACATCCAGTGTTCTAGATCTAGTGACAAGGAACCTGACATCTCTCTAGAGATGCCTATTTGCTATACCCTGGCATAACCCTGGCTCTACAACCATAACATCTGCCCAGAGATCCAACCTTAACCCTTTGAAACCTTACTCTGATCAGTCCTATTCTCATCACTGTACAATACAACTGATCCTGGAAAGATATAATACATTTCAGGTACGGAGAAATGTAGCAATACGAGATAGGTCTGAAAACAGAATTCCAACCACTTCTCTAACAAAGACTTTCAAATGCTAAAGGACCGCAGGGTGCAATCTCCCTGCCTACAGTTATAAGGCACAGTAGAAGTCACATTCAAAAGCTTTTCTTTATGAAGGGAAATTCATATAAAGAACATTTTTATTTCATTGAAAAGGTGCATCACAATGCCTACTGCCAGATTCACAACTCCAAAATGTATTTCTGTTAATCTTGTAAAGTAAAATGAATAACAAGGGACGTGTGTGTGCTTGTATATAGACACACATACAGTACACACAGAGAGATTGTCTCTCTTTCTCTCTCTGTCTCTCCCTCTCACACACACACATACACACTCTGTTACCCAGATAGGGACCATGCAAACTTCTAAGGGAGTTCTTTAAAAGGCATGTCATACTGCAATTAACATGTTATGCTTCTCTCTTCTTTCTGAAGGTAGGAAAAAAAAAGAACACATTGCAATTCTAAAGTCCCAGGCTGTTAGACGAGAACCAGCTGTCTTTTGTACTTGGCCCTTTATGTTATTATAATTATTCTCTAATTACCACATGCCCTCACTTGCACCTGTGTATGAATTTGCCTGGGTATACATGGACCCAATAAAACTGAAAATACAGAGATTTTTTGTCTGTGGCAAAAGCATGCTATAAACATAATAAGTCATATGCTACAGTTCATCAAAATGGAGAAATTAAATATAAAATACTAACTAGCTTTTTACACTATAAAATTTAACAATAAAAATGATTAATTACATTGAACTATAAAACATTCTTTAGCACTGAACTAGCAGTTTATCTTGACTAATAATGATAGAGCAAGAAAGGTAGCGATGGGAAGTTCCTTCCAGCTTTGATTTCCTGAAATTGTAATTTACAGACGAAGGAGTAAAGAGAGCATTAAGCAAATGTTGAGGCTATAAAGAGTAGACTAATCCAGTCTTTCTTCAACACCAGTAAGTCCTTAATGCTTTCAAGGTGAGTTGGTTTGCAGAATAAAGAGGTTTTATATGGATCGTGACCCATTCAGTTTCACTAGCCAAACAATCAGAATGAGCCTGGTGGAACCTTTTCTGACAAACAAATTTTATTAAAAGGTATAAACTTTTCTGAGCTGCAGAATCCTTTGTAAGACAGCTGTGGCTGTCACTTTGCTTTGCAGCATACCAGTTTCCTTTCCTAAATTATGAAAATCCAGTAAAAATAGAGCCACAAGAGTGCCAAATGAGATATTGATAGACATATTGACACTCATGGGTACTAATGGGGGACCCACAACCCTTATCTAAACATACAGTAATCAAATATAATTTGGGCAGTGTTGGGCTTCAGGGTTTAGTGATCATATCTAGACGACAGATTTCTTAACGTTTCACTGGCAGCTGTAGCTGGCAACTTCAGAGGCAAGGCGGTCTGCTGGGCTATCCAGACCACAGGTAATTGAGCAGGGACTGGGCCCCTGTCTTTATAGCTAGGGGTCCTGATTCCTGATTGGTCTGGCCATGAAAGCCTACATAAATTCAATAAACGATGGTGCAGCAAGCCATGATTTACTGTATGTACGGATACAGCTTTTAAGTCATCTGCCATTCTGATAACTACTGGACAAATGGCAATGATGGAGAGATTAAATGGCTAAGTAAGTTACTACTATAGGCTATATAAACTATCTATCCATCCATCCATCCATCCAGCTTCCTAGGGCCGAGAATGAGTGAGTGGCCCAAGGTCACCCAGGTTTCTAGCCTGATGCCTTAACCACTACACCAAACTGGCTTTTTTATACCTAATCTTACAAAAGTGCAGTAAATGCAGTTCAAAGACTTTTTACTGGACAAAAAAACATCTACACTTGCATATCCTTACCCATTTGGTTAAGCAACATTATGAAAATTGCAAAACAGGGTAAGAAATAGTAAGGCAAAGGAATTAAGACATGAGATAAGGAAAAAATAGTTAAATCTAACTTTTCACTTCATACATGTCTTCATACATTTATATCCCATACATTTATATTCATACATTTATATCCCTGTAATCTGTCCCTGCTTCTTCCTTGTCCAAACACTGCTTCTTTCATTACCTTTTTTTTTCTCCATCGAGCCATGCCTCTTTTCTCTTCACCTACACACTTTTCCTTTTCATATTTCTTTTATGATATAATATTTATTCTTTTTGTATAACCAAGCCATCTTGATGTATTATTTTCACAACAGTCCATACCGCACCCATTCATTATTCATCTATTTTTTTCTTCTACAACATGCCACTGCATTCACCTTTCTTTTCTGTTTTTATCCAAATTTGCCCATTTCACTTCCATATAAAAGTGGGCAGAAGCACTCTTACACAGACATTTTCACTTCTTTTGACAAACATTACTTCCTTGCAACAGTTCACATACTACCCATGACCTTCCTAACAGCATTTGTGTAGCTTAACATTTCCATTTTTCCATTTCCATTAACATCTTTTTCCATTTGCCTATCTTTAGTAAACAATCTGTTAAAGTTTAAATATTCATTCACTACTTCTGTTTTTTTTTTTTTTAAATTGCTACTTATATATAACTTGCAATAATTCACTTTACATTCTGTATCAAACCAAACTACCTTTGTCTTTAATACTTAATTTTTCAATCCATATTCATCAATTTATCACACTGGCAAATCATTTGGCATATCTCACCCATATTTACACAGAAAATGTCATAATTCAAGCCTGTTCATTTTATCACATGCCGTCTCTAAATCAAGAAACATATAGTAAATTTTCTCAGCCATACATTTCTCAGGGACCTGCTGAAGAAAAAGCATAAAGCAACAGCGTAGTTTCCAAATTTTGCTCATTACAATTTTTCATATAGCTTTGATCCAAATTGTGCCAAATGCATAGGGTGCTTTAACAAATGAATACCCTTTAGCATGAGATATAGTGCTGGCTATCAATGGCTATTAGCCTTGATGGCAGTGTGACTATATCTGAAGGCCATCTGGACTTCCTTGTGCAGCCGGTTGGCCACTATGAGAACAGACTGCTGGACTAGAGGGTCCGATTCTTATGTTCTTACGTTCTATTTCTTTTCCCTCTGCATTTTCTCCCTTCTCTTTGCATAGGAAGACAACAGCATTCTTCTAATTGTCAAGCAAAAACACAGTCTTCACACACATATTAAACAAATAGCCCAGCCCCTCTATATGTAACACTCATATTTTAAGATTTTTCTAGTTACTCCATCTACAAATATTGCAGATATTCAAAATATCAAGATTCAAAATATTGCAGAGTTTTCCCCCAAACTCTTATCAGCCAATAAACTCTTACTTTTATATGACCCCACAACAATTTGCATGTCAGCAATTCATGTCTTGTGACATATTCTTCAGCCCTTTCATTTATAATTAAATTTAGACCTTCACTTCCCTGTAGGTATCCTCCACTTTATAAGATCAAGCCACTTTCATTCAGAACTACTGCATCCTTCCCCTTTCTCTTAGTTTCACAGACACACATCTTTCTTTCTTTCTTTCTTTCTTTCTTTCTTTCTTTCTTTCTTTCTTTCTTTCTTTCTTTCTTTCTTTCTTTCCTTCCTTCCTTCCTTCCTTCCTTCCTTCCTTCCTTCCTTCCTTCCTTCCTTCCTTCCTTCCTTCCTTCCTTCCTTCCTTCCTCCCTCCCTCCCTCCCTCCCGCCATGCCCATGCCCATGCCCATGCCCATGCATGCATACTCTTTACCATTCACTCCTCTTACATGTCAAGTCACAGTCTTCCTTATGCCATGGACATTCTGCAGATTGGCCCACACATAAAAGACATCTGCTGCCTATTATACCTGTGGTCAGTTAAGGCTTTCTCATAATGCTTTTTAGCAAGATACAGCAAAAAGGTTGAGGGAGAGAAGATTTCTTTTGCCCTACGGACTAGGGTTTATAGGGTAAAAGATTGGAAGTCTCAAATCTTCTCTCCATAAACCTTTTGGATTTCCGCACCATATCTTGGTGTAGCAGCTTGGCAATTCTTGCTACCAGAAGCATCCTCCTTACTTACTTCAACATATGAGAGAGATAGGGCTTCCACAACTTATGCACTTAACCAACAAATAAAAAGGAAAGAAAAAAAGAAAAAGAAATAATTCTATACTGGCTCTTTAACACTGAAGCATGAGTCAAAGAAAATCAGCCCCTCCCTCCCTTCTCCTTTGTGGGGAGATAGACCCCATG